GCAACCTTGGCTCACTGCAACCTCCGCCTCCTGGGTTCAAGGGATTCTCCTGCCTCAGCCTCCCAAGCAGCTGGGATTACAGGCACCCACCACCATGCCTGGCTAAGTTTTGTATTTTTAGTAGAAATGGGGTATCTTCATGTTGGCGAGGCTGGTCTGGAAGTCCTGACCCCAGGCGATCCGCCTGCCTCGGCTTCCTACAGGCCTGAGCCACCTCGCCTGGCCAAAAAAAAAAAAAAAATATTAACCTGAGGCTGGTGCTAGGTGCATTTAATAAGTATAAGTTATTTAAGGAGAAATGGGGTAGGGTGAGGACTGGGGCTAAGAGGAGGAGAGCTTCCATTTTCCTGGACAAAGCCAGGAGGGCTCCTTGGGGGAGGCAGCTTCTGGTCTGATCCCTGGTCTGAAGGGATTAGCCTGGGCAGTGCCAGGGAAGGGAACTGCAGATGGAGGGAGCCAAGGGGAAGGGGCTGGAGGAGGGCTCTGTGGGACTCCAGGGGCCCGGAGCTCCCTGACGGGGGAGTGGGGCTTCCTCGCTTCTCTGAGCGTGTGTGGACTGAGCGCCCTGTGCACTGATTGCAGGGCCCATCTTCTGGCTGTTGGTCAAGGGCCCCGAGCTGGCCGCCCAGCCCAGCACATACCTGGCCGTGGCAGAGGAACTGGCAGATGTTTCCGGAAAGTACTTCGATGGACTCAAACAGAAGGCCCCGGCCCCCGAGGCTGAGGATGAGGAGGTGGCCCGGAGGCTTTGGGCTGAAAGCGCCCGCCTGGTGGGCTTAGAGGCTCCCTCTGTGAGGCAGCAGCCCCTTCCCAGATAACTTCTGGAGCAGATTTGAAAGCCAGGATGGAGCCGCAAGACCGAGGGCTGCTGTCTGCCATGCCCGCAGCTTCCTGGCACCACCTGAGCTGGGAGACCCAGGACTGCCGGCCCCATGCCCGCAGCTTCCTCTAGGGGGCGGTGTTGGCACCACCTGAGCTTGAGAGACCCAGGACTGCCGGCCCCATGCCTTCAGCATCCTCTGGGGGGCGGTGTTGGCACCACCTGAGCTGAGAGACCCAGGACTGCCGGCCCCCATGTCCGCAGCATCCTCTAGGGGGTGGTGCTGGCACCACCTGAGCTGGGAGACTGAGAACCGCTGGCCCCCATTCCCGCAGCTTCCTCTAGGGGGTGGTGTTGGCACCACCTGAGCTGGGAGACTGAGAACTGCCGGCCCCCATTCCCGCAGCTTCCTCTAGGGGGTGGTGCTGGCACCACCTGAGCCAGGAGACTGAGAACCGCTGGCCCCCATGCCCGCAGCTTCCTGGCACCACCTGAGCTGGGAGACCCAGGACTGCCGGCCCCCATTCCCGCAGCTTCCTCTAGGGGGCGTTCTGGCACCACCTGAGCTGGGAGACTGAGAACTGCCGGCCCCCATGCCCGCAGCATCCTCTAGGGGGCGGTGCTGGCCGCAGTGGATTGGCCTGCGGGTGACCACTGGGCTCCGGCTGATCCCATGTGCTCTGCTGCCAGCATGGGAGCGGGGCCATCTGATGCTTCCCCTGGGAATCTAAACTGGCAATGGCCGAGGAGGCACAGGCTCCATGTACTTGTGGGCCATGTCAGGAGAGCCAGCAGTGCCTGTGGGGGAGGGCTCCAAGATACTCCACAAAGAGCATGGGCAAGCTGTCTGACACGGATTCTTGGGTACCTGTGGGACCTTGTGCATGCAGGGGTCTTCTCTGAGCCTTGGTTTCTTCAGAATAATCGCTGTCTCCCGTGACCGTGTGGTGCGGCGAGCTGTTGTCTGTTCACTGTGGCTGTGCACAGCCCTTGCCAGGGGCGTTTGCTGAGGGCTTCCTGTGCCAGAGCCAGGCCAGAAAGCAGGTGCAGGTGTCATCCCGAGTTCAGGCTGTGCACGGCATGGAGTGGGAACCCCACCAGCTGCTGCTACAGGACCTGGGCTTGCCTGGGGCTCCCACCTTCCTATCAATTCTCATGGTAGTCCAAACTGCAGACTCTCAAACTTGCTCACTAAAAAAAAAAAAAAAAAAGAAAATGTACTTGAGTCGTAGGTTTTACTTTTTCCTCTGTGCATGGGTGAATGCCCATGAGCTAAACAAAGGCAACTCCTGGATTTCTTCCTTTTAGTTTATCACCAGGGCAACAGGCCATGCAGAAGTTCACACGTTTTAGAGATGAAAGCCGCCTTCACCCCTTCCACAGACCAACACTGTTGCAGTCCGGGCATCTTACAAGACGGCTTGTTAGCAAGTGGGTAGAGATCAGGCTGAGAGGAAGGGGCTCTCAGCTTAGGTGCAGAACCGAAGGAGACACTGAAAAGCTCAGTAATCGAGATATGAAACATGTTTTCATATTTGAGATACTGGGGAGGCCAGGGATGCTGCTCAATATCCTACAGTACGCAGAACAGCCACCCAGTCTCGCTCTGTTGCCCAGGCTGGAGTGCAGTGGCATGATCTCGGCTCACTGCAACCTCTGCCTCCCGGGTTCAAGCGATTCTCATGCCTCAGCCTCTCGAGTAGCTGGGATTACAGGCGTCTTCCACCACACCTGGCTAATTGAAGACGGGGCATCACCATGTTGGCCAGGCCTGGTCTTGAACTCCTGACCTCAGGTGATCCACCCGTCTTGGCCTCCCAAAGTACAGGAATTACAGGTGTGAGCCAGTGCACCCAGCCCTTTTTGCTTTTTAGAGACAAGGTCTCACTCTTGCTAAGGCTGGAGTGCAGTGCCATCACAGCTCACTACAGCCTCGACCTCCTGTGATTCTCCTGCCTCAGCCTCTTGAGTAGCTGGGACTACAGGTGCACACCACCACACTTGGCTAATTATTTGTAGAGGTGGGGTCTTGCTATGTTGCCCAGGCTGGTCTCAAACTCCTGGGCTCAAGTGATCCTTCTGCCACGGCCTCCCAAATTGTTGGGATTACAGGTATGAGCCACTGTACCTGGCCGTAGTTTTCTTTCTGATGCCATACCCAACGGCTGGAGGGTGTATTTGGGATGACCTGACTCTGGTAGGCAACTTCCAGTGGACCCCACAGTGAGACCACCTCCCTTTGACTGTGGGGAGATGTAGCGACTTTTTTATTTTTTTGAGACAGAGTCTTGCTCTGTTGTCCAGGCTGGAGTGCAGTGGCGTGATCTCCCGCTCACTGCAAGCTCTGCTTCCTGGATTCACGCCATTCTCCTGCCTCAGGCTCCCGAGTAGCTGGGACTAAAGGCGCCCGCCACCATGCCCGGCTAATTTTTTTATATTTTTAGTAGAGATGGGGTTTCATCGTGTTAACCAGGATGGTCTCGATCTCCTGACCTCGTGATTCATCCACCTTGGCCTCCCAAAGTGCTGGGATTACAGGCGTGAGCCACCACGCCCGGCGTAGCGACTGGTTTCTAGCAGTAGGATAGGGCAGAGGTGACGGTTGGTTAGTCTTGTGGTTAGGCTACAAAACCCACTTCTGTGGTGGTAGCATCCCTCCTGCCAGCCCTCTGTCTTGCCCTCTCGCTGGCTGGCTGTAGTGGAGCCAGCTGTCATGGTGAGCGGCCCTGTGGAGAAGCCAGGGAGGAACGGAGACTCCACCAACCGGGAGAAACTGAATCACACCAACAACCACGTGCGTGAGCTTGCTGTATGCTCTTGCTTGGGGGCAAGTTACAGACTCAGCCCAAGAGGAGTGGGCCCCTCCAGGGTGTGATACCAGGAGGGGGAATCGGAAGCACGCCGACAGGAGTGTGTGTGTGTAGGACGTTATTTCTCACTGGGAGAAAAGCAAGTTTGAAAAACACTCCCGGCCGGGCACGGTGGTTCAAGCCTGTAATCCCAGCACTTTGGGAGGCCGAGACGGGTGGATCACGAGGTCAGAAGATCGAGACCATCCTGGCTAACACGGTGAAACCCCATCTCTACTAAAAAATACAAAAAACTAGCCGGGCGAGTTGACGGGCGCCTGTAGTCCCAGCTGAGAATGGCGTGAACCCGGGAGGCGGAGCTTGCAGTGAGCCGAGATCCGGCCACTGCACTCCAGCCTGGGCGACAGAGCGAGACTCCGTCTCAAAAAAAAAAAAAAAAAAAAACCACTCCCATGAGATGGATGGGCTGAGGATAACCTTAGAGACTCTGGTTCTCTGAATAGGTGGGTAGGACTCACCCAGGCACTCTTTCCTTTTTGAAATTGTGATAAAAAGTACACAACACTGGCCAGGCGTGATGGTGCACTCCTGTAATCCCAGCTACTAGGGAGGCTGAGGCAGAAGAACTGCTTGAACCAAGGGGGCACCGCTCCCGGCTGTAACAAGTTTCCAACATCCCCCCTCTTCGGTGGCACAGGGGCTGGCCCCACATACATACGCGATGGCAACTGACCAGCTCCCTCATAGACTGGAGCGCTCCAGAAACACCTTGTTGCCTGGGATGGAGGAGGATGTTATGTGGCCCTCCGAGGGTTTGAGTTTGATAAATGGGCAAAGGAAGTGGTTTTTAGTAGAAAGCCAGGCTTCCTTTTTTTTTCTTTTTTTCCACCCAGCAAACCCCAAACAAGAACCTATGGTTGGTGATGGATGTGCGTTCAGAAAGCGGGGAGGAAGGGGCAGTCAGAGGTGAGGGCAGTCATCAGTCATAGCTGTTCGCTGCATCACCCTCTCACTATCTCCAGAAAGTTTTCTGGACTTCTCCTGTTGTGCAGTGTGGCAGTGCCCCATCTTCATTCATATCGAGTAAAGTCAAAGGACAAACTCTTAAAGATGGCAGCATCTTCCTGCCTTCCTAGTCAAGTTGCCGCTGTAGCGGAGTGCCACCTGATTTCCAGCCCTGCAGCACACAGTCGCACAGGGAGAACCTGCCTGGCGTGATCCAGAGGCAACGTATCTCCCAAGGTGATTGTGAAGGAACCAGAGGGATAAACACAGCCCGTGAACCGCAAGCCAGAAGACGGGTCCAGCTGGCTGCTGTTGACTCATCAGGGCGTGTTGCGTCCGAGCACTTCTCCAAACCACCCAAGTGGCACCCAGGGTGACATGTACATCACCTTGAGTACAATTCTTTCAAGGAAAAACCGAGTTCAGCATCTTCTGCGATGGCAACCCTGGCTTGGAGCCTCATAGGAGAGAAGGCCTTAAGAATACCATTTTCTTTCTCTAAGTTGCTCTTACGGGAAACAAGTGATAATATTCTTTCTTTTTTTTTTGAGAAGGAGTCTCGCTCTGTTGCCCAGGCTGGAGTGCAGTGGCGCGATCTCCACTCACTGCAAGCTCCGCCTCCCGGGTTCACGACACTCTCCTGGGACTACAGGCGCCCGCCACCACACTCGGCTAATTTTTTTGTATTTTTAGTAGAGACGGGGTTTCACTGTGTTAGCCAGGATGGGCTCGATCTCCTGACCTCGTGATCTGCCCATCTCGGCCTCCCCAAGTGCTGGGATTACAGGCGTGAGCCACCGCGCCCGGCGTGATAATGTTCTTTCTAAATGCCATCAATCACACCTACATGTGTCACCGAGGGCCGGATCATTCTCTGCCGCGGTGGGGCTGTCCTGTGCATTGAAGAATGCTGAGCAGTGTCCTTGGCTTCAACTGACCAGATGCCAGAGGCACCCCAATTTCTGCCATCAGGGGACTGACTTACCTTCACTGTTGCGTTTGATTCTTTTCATGTATCTTTAAAAAAGGACCCAGTGGGGCCAGGCGCAGTAGCTCACACCTGCAGTCCCAGCACTTTGGGAGGCTGAGGTCAGCGGATTGCTTGAGCCTAGGAGTTCCAAGACCAGCCTGGGCAACATAGTGAAAACCAACTCTACAAAAAAACCATTTTTTTTTTTTTAGATGGAGTTTTGCTCTTGTTGCCCAGAATGGAGTTCAGTGGCGCAATCTCGGCTCACTGCAACCTCCGCCTCCCGGGTTCAAGCGATTCTCCTGCCTCAGCCTCCTGAGTAGCTGGGACTACA